CCCCATGCCGATTGCGACAGAAGCGAAAACTCTGACGTGATGAGGGAAAGAATAGATGAGAAACGTCTAATTTTGTGTCCTCTTGGGATTAGATTCTGATTTCAGCTGTGTAAAGAGCGCTGCCCCATATTTTGGAAGAGTCACTGCTGACTCTTTTCAGAAGATGACTTTTTAAAATAGCTCTGCCATCCTATCTGATTACTGCCTGACATTTGGGTGAGGGCACAGGCTTGGTAAGGATAGCCCTTGCTTTTTAAAATGCTGGTCATGAAGTGGTCGTTCTACTTAAGCTACAAACCAATGGATAACCAAATATGAAAGAGCCGTACCTGCCTTATCTGATTCCTAGCAGGAATATGAAAGAACAACTCGTTTGGGTTGTTTTTGTAGTTGTTGGCCGAGTCACATCTGTCTCCAGCACCTGGTGACCCTGTGCACCAGGGGATCAAACTAGTGTGCTCCCTTGGTGTTCCACTGGCTGGTTTTACAAAGATAGAAGGGAAGTCTTTTCTCTTAGTCTGGAAGCTCTGCTGAAATCTGTTCAACCCCGTAGAAGCACACAAGCCTCTACAGACAGATGGGTGGTGACTGCACATGAGATACATGGGCTGGATATTGAACCTGGGTCTTCTACACACCCCCCTAGAAAACCTCATTGCCATTGAGTTGATTCGAACTCATAATGACCTTATACAGGGTCTCTGAGACCTAGTGGTGCAGTTAGTTATTATTTTAAATATAGTGGCAGAGTTATTACAGTGGTGCAGTGAGTTATTATTTTAAATATAGTGCAGTGAGTTATGAGTTGGGCTGCTAACCATAAGGTCGGCAGTTTGAAATCACAAACCACACAGTGGGAGAAAGATGGGACTTTCTACTCCCATTAACCTTTACAGTCTCAGAAACCTACAGGAACAGTTCTACCCTGTCCTACATGGTGACTATGAGTCAGAATCGAATCAGTGGCAGAGAGTGAGTATAAATCTTTTTGAGAGCCGAAAGCCTTGTCTTTCTACAGAGGACCGGCTGGTGGGTTTGAACCACCAACTTTTCAGTTAGCAGTCCAACATTTACCCAATAATGCCACTTGGGTTTCTGGTTTCCTACATGGAAAGCGAGAACTCAGCCACCGAACCAACAGCACTATATTTAAAATAATAATAATAATAATAATATTTAACTTTTGTAAAATTATTCAAAGCAAAACCTGCTCCCATCCAGTTTCTAGATATAAAAGCAGTACTATTGGTGACATTCTTCCCATCATCTGCACAGTTCTACATTATAGTTGTTTCACTTCTACCCATATAGTAGCCCTTTCTCCCAACTATGCTATATGATAGCTATTGACCTTTGGTCTTATGTAGATTGTTCTGTTGTTGTTTTTAATGCTATACTCAAGGCTGACTGACCATCTTTACTCTTTGGGCTCAACTGTTACCTAGCTTAACAGTTATTTCAGGGGATAGTTTCACTTCAAAATTTGAAGAGAAACTCAAGACTAGAGTCTCAGGGCTCTTCCAGCATTGATAGGTCCAGTAAGTTTGAATTCCTTAAGAATTTGGAGTTCTCTTATACCAATGGCTCAAGTAGAACATGTTTTGGAAATGATGATGACAACATTTACACAAATGTGCTTCATACAATTGATGTATGGAATGTCATAAGAGCTGTAAGAGCCCCCAATAAAATAATTTTAAAAAAATAAAAAAGTGAGAGATTGAAGAAAAAGAATTTGAAGTTCTATTAGACAATTTTGTCCCTTTTTATCATGATTCATATATTATGTTCTTGACCGGAATATTCAGAAGGATTAGCTGGGCACTGGCTAAGTTCTTCTGGTCTCAATGTGGAAGAAGCAGTAGTTCATGTAACAGATAGTCCTATTGCCCAGATCCTTGTCTGATTTTGCGGTTTTCTTCTTTCTCTTTTGTCCCAGATGAATAAAGACCAAGACTCATATCTTATATGGCTACTTGTAAGCTTTTAGGACCACAAACATGATTCATCACCCTGAGTGGTAGAACATAAGCTTTAAGAATTGTATGATGCCAATTGACTGAATTGTCCCATGAGGCCATGACCTTAAGCACTCAAACAAAGAGAACTTATTCCATGAGGTGGTTGGAAATGTCTAATTAGTATCAGCTTCTGTAGATCGGCCTCCCCCGCCTTTTTGTTGTTGTTGTTAATAATCCCCCAAATATTGCCTGCACTGTACATCTCAAAACAGGACACATTTACCCATCCACTTGAGTGGAGTTGCTGTCTCTGATATAGAAACATACATACTCTTCTGTTTGTGCTTAGAATGATGCTGAATAACTCCCCAAGAGTGAAAAGAACTATAAGCACTGGTTATATCATATTTTAATCCCTTCAGAGCAACAAACTGATTTTTGCCGAAAGTAGTCATAGGTTGATGTGATTTATGGTAAACTGGGTCTCTGTGTACCTGGCCTGTGGAATGGATTCCTTAGAGATTGCCTGGGTAACATGCAAACACTTGGGTGAGTATGAGCCTGTTCCTAGGAGTCCCTGAGTGGTGCAAACTGTTAATGGGCTCAGCAATAACTGAAAGATTGGAGGTTTGAGTCCACTAGAGACTTCTTAGAAAAAGGATTTAATGATCTTTAAAACTTCTATGGAGCACAGTCCTACTCTGACACACATGAAATCTCCATGAGTTGGGATCAACTTGAAAGCAACTAGTTTACCGTGACATCTCTCAGGGTATTTAAGATGTGTTCGCAATTTACTTAAGTGTAGGTAATTAGGAAGTGTTTGGAGGGACATCAAGGCCCACTTTTATCACTGGTCCCTTACTCAACTTCATATCAAATTTCTCCCAACCAAGCATGCTTTGAAGGTCCTGGTCTCCAAAAACAATCCCAACTCTAACAAAGTGTTATCTAAAAACAACCAGCGGCATTACAAAAGGAGAAATAAGCACTTAGCTGGCTTAAATGAAAACCTCCACCACTCAAATTAAACCCCAAAGCAACAGGAGCACCAAACCAAACTAACAAGGGCTCGAGTGGAAAGAAAACGTTCTGAGAACGAGGATGGCAGCACAGGTACAAATGTGCCTGACACAGTGGATGGGTGCATGGATTGTGATAAGAGCTCTATGAGCCTCGAATAAAATGATTGAAAATAAAGAAAGAAAAGAGAAAAGAAAATGATGATGGCAACACGTACAAATGTGCTTGACACAATGCATGGAAAGATAGATTGTGATAAGAGCTGTATGAGCCTCAAATAAAATGATTGAAAATAAATAAAGGAAGAAAAGAACATGATGATGGCAACATAGAAATGTGCTAGACACAATGGATATATGTATGGATTGTGATATGAGCTGCATGAGCCCCCTAAAAATGATTTTTTTTTAAAAGAGTAAAAAAAATCCTAATGACCCTACAAAATAGTCAGCTCCAGCAAACTGTTGCTTCGTTTTGCCTGCTGAAGGATGCCTTTTCATAAACTCATAGTTCCTCAGGGCGAGGCTGGGCTGGGCTGGGCTGGGCTGGGCTGGGAGATTTGATGTAGTTGAGCACATAAGAGTTGTCTCTGCAGGTTTTAGTGTTTCCTAGAGAACTTTAACTGAAAGAATTATTAGGAGTACTAAAACATAAGCTCTCAACCTGTAGCAGGGGATTAATTGGCTATATTAATTGTGAGACACGTGTTCACCAGCAATGAGAAAGGAAGACCAAACATTCATTCCAACTGTAGTGCTGGCAAAGAACATTGACCCCAGCACCAGCTGCCAGCAGAACAAACAGTCCTAGAAACAGTACAAGCAGAATACTCCTAGATGCAGGAACGGTAAGGCCTTGGCTAGTTTATGAGTGACATCACGCTTGGTCAAGTAGAGGGTCAGCACAAACAATGGACATCCTTAATGCAATCAACTGATTTAATAACCACAATGGACGAAAAGGTACACCAAAGATCATGAAGCGGACTGGGCAGTGTTTCGTTGTGTTGTACCTGTGGTTGTCATGGGTCAGTGGCAGCTGGACAACCACAAACAGCAGGAACAGAATTAGTTTGTTATCAAAGAAGTATCAAAGTAATCACTTGTTAGTGTCAGAGTAGTAGTAAGGATTTGTGTACTACACAAGTCTTTGCCCTCCAGTCTGTTTTGACTCATGGCGTCCCAAATGGCCCAGAGTAGAACTGCTCCTAAGGGTTTTCAAGGCTGTCATTTTTGGAAGCAGATCACCAGGCCTTTCTTCTGAGGTGTCTCTGAGTGAATTTAAACTCCCAATATTTTGATTACTAGTCAAGTGCTCAATCACATGCACCATCCAAGGACTCGTGTACTAGATTATTAACTCATGGCCATCGAGTCGATGCTGACTCTTAATGATCCTCGTAGATAGGGTAGAACTGCCCTTGTGAGTTTCCGGGACTGGAACTCTTTAGGAGAGCAGAAGACCCACTCTTTTCCCCATGGAGCGGCTGGTGGTTTCCAACTGCTCATCTCGCAGTTCATAGCCCAACACGTAACCACTACACCACCAGGGCTACTTACGACATGACTAGGCATGCAGACAGAATTGAGCTGAACAGAAAAGAAGGTCAAAGCAGCAAAAAAAATCTGTGAAATTCTGAACCTGTTAAAGGCAGAGACCTGCTGGAGAAGGAGAACTGAGTATTTCCCATTTATGGAGAGTGATAGAAAAGTGGTAGAGATGTGCCCTGTTCAAAGCAGACAAGAAGAAACGGAAAAGCCTGTAAGAGCCCAGAGAAAAGCAAGGCTATCTTGTTCAGTTCCGGCTCTCACGAACCCCATGGCGCAGTCTGCTTTTTTCTTCTCTCTGTTTCAAGTTGTACGTTCTTCGGAATTCTCCATATCTTTATGGTGCTTAGAAATATTCTCCAGGCAACGGACACCATTCTGAATAATTTTTATTCTCCTGGTTAAGTTCAATGGTGTCCATTTGCTCACGGAACCTCTGTGTGTGTGTTGCTGTTATTGTGTTTTCTAGAATGGCAGGCATGCCAGAACTGATGGAAAGGCTGGAGAGGGCAGTGGTCCGACTGGAGTTGCTTTCTGCAGAATCATCCAGGCCTCCCAGGGACTCTGGAGAAGTGAATGGTGTCAATGGAGGTAGGACCACCAATTGTTTGTCATCAGTACTGATTTCAATCGTGGGGTCGCTTAATTTATTCCCATCAGGCAACTCTCAAAGTAAGAGATATTTCTATTATCTTTCTTCAGTGTAAGAATCCTTGGTGGTTGTGTCAGGTAAGAATTTGGAATGCCAATTGTAAGGTCAGTGGTTCAAACCCACTAGCCACTCCTTGGGAGAAAGAGGAGGCTGTCTGCACCTGTGAAGATACACCACCTCATAAACCCTTGTAGTGGTTCTCAACCTTCCTAATGCCAGGACCCTTTAATACAGTTCCTCATGTTGTGGTGACCCCCCAACCATTAAAATATTTTTGTGGCTGCTTCATAACTGTAATTTTGGGACTGTTATGAATCAGGTGACCCCTGTGAAAGGGTCATTTGACTCCCAAAGGTTGAGAACCGCTGCTACTATGCGATGAAATCCACTCTATGGTAGTGGGTGGGTTTGTTAGCTTTCTTACTCTTTCCTTTATAGGTGAGCATAACATTAACCAGATGTAAGCAACTGCTGAACGAAAGGAAAAGTTATAACCCATCACCTTCTATAATGATTAATATCTGATCCATATGCTAAATGTCATTATTCATTCATTTTAATGTTTACATTTACGCTCCAGAGTCAACGGCTAAATACATGGAGAAATACATTAATTATCAAAGAAAGAATGTTCTCATTAGAATGTAAATTGGAAAGATTTACCCTTCTGTAGATTTTAATTCTAAAGCCAGCAAGTCATTGAGTGTAGGAGGTGTGAAGGGAGGGAGTCTGATGTGAAGCACAGTCTGATGTGGATATTACATGAACACATTACATTGCTTTAGCTTTGCCTAATCCTAACCAAGAATGCTTTTTAAATTACATGATCAAAAGTAAAGAATGCATCACTGTCTCAAAAGGCCTACCATGTATGGTAAGCACTCTAAGCTATCCTCAATAATGTTTCCAATCCCTTCTTGTCTAGAGTTACAGATTTAGCAAATAAAAATACAGTTAAATTTGAATTTTAGATAAATAATAGGAGATGGGATTTTTTGGTGTAAGTATTCCTCAAATACTGCCTGAGCCGTACTCCAAAAGACATGCTCACACTAAAAAGTTATTCAGTGTTTATCTAAAATTCAGTTTTAACTGGGTGTTCTGTATTTAATCTAGCAACTCTATTCTTGTCACACATGCCTTCCATCCTTATCTGACCCACTTTGGATTCTGTCAGGCTTCTTGGAGCTGAAAAAGGCCTTGAAGAAGAAGGGTTTTTTTTTAAAAAAAGAAAAGAAAGAAAGAAAGCTCTCCCCAGGCAAAATCTACATGGGCGCTTTCTAGAATTTCAGGCTTCCTTGGCCCTGTGCCTTGCAGCACATAGCCTGCGACCACAACTGCCATTTGAGCACAAATGCACAGGCTCTGTTTGTTTTGTTTGTTTTTTCGTGCCACCCCCTGAACATAATAAAATGGGAATGCCTTAAAGGAAGACTTCCAGGGGTGTCTAACTAAGCTTTCTGAAGCCCCCTTGAGAGTTTTGCCACAGCAGCTGAGATACTTCAATAATGTTATCCTAAGCATCACTTTGTTAATCAAACTCACTGCCATCGAGTCAATTCTGACTCATAATGACCCTATAGGACAGGGTGGAACTGCCCCTGTGGGTTCCGGAAACGGTAACTCTTTATAAGAGTAGAAAGCTTCATTTTTCTCCCTCAGGGTGGCTGGTGATTTCGAACTTTTAACCTTGAGATTAGCAGCCCAATGAGTAACCATTATGCTACCAACGCTTCTTATGAGCAAGAAAATATTTATATGTCTTGTTTGAAAACTTTGTTTTATTATGTTGTGTGCTGCATATGATCTAAAGACATTTCTCCTCTAAGAATGTGGATCACAAATGTAAAGATCATGGAAATACAAGAAAGTAAAAATTCAATCCCTAGGACATACTGTAGTGTTACTGACCCAACAACAAAAACAAATCAGTAGTTGGTACCTCATGTGCTCAGTGAAGCATGAAGGGGCTTTAAAATATTTATGGAACAATGGCATTAAGAGATCGTGAAATTTGTGTTTTCATAAACGCTTTGAAGACCTCTCATACTAGATTGGACTTTGTGTTGCTTTATAATTAGAGACTTTATTAAAAAGACAGGCTTTCCTTGACAAAGCAATAGTCTATCCATCCCTTGGTCTAACATTTAAGACAAGAGACTTGAAAGACATGTCTTTGGTCAAAGTGGATTTCCTCTGACTCGTCAGGTCTGCGGCACACACGGGGACTCGATCTAATGCCACCAGATGTTCTTCCCCTTCTGCTGCTGCAGGCAGCCCTGGCCAAATCGAAATACTGAATGAAGACCCAGCAAGATTCAGCCCAGCTATTAACTTTTAAAACGGACTGTCGGAGATATTTCACAATAAAGATTGTTTTTGAATTGTGGGACCTGTGATTCTGTCAGGATCACTATTCATGTCTAGTTGTGCCATAGCAAAAAGAAATCCATAAACACGGAACTGAAACCGAGACAAGAAAGCACACGAACCAGCTTTTTGGGGCATTTGGTGTTGTGAAGTATGGGCTAGTCTCATGCTTACGGGACAGAAACTGCAGCCTTGGACCAACACAAGGTGGAAAGTTAGACTGATTTAAACTCAAGATGTAGGAGTTGCCCTCACTGAAAGTCTGAACCAGAAAGTCAGCAGCCAGATAACAAAAAGCCCCTCTGTTGTCCCTTGGGCTACTGTTGGTGTAGGGCCCGAATGTAGACCACTGACAGCCTCCGGGCACCTTTAAACTGAGATACTGGCATAGAAATTGCTAAGGTTGCTGAGGGCCTCGGAGCCTAGCAGAAGCCAACTCCAGAAGCTCTGTCCATAATCTCCACAATCCGCCCACCATCGAGTGAGTCACCATAAGAGGTTAAAGACATGGGACATGTACAGATTAAGAAGAAGTACCTAGAATTTCTCAGGGCCCACACGAAACTTCTAGAAATGAAAAATACAGTTGTTGGCATTATCAATAAGAATTTAGAAATGGTTGAAGAACCACCAATCCATACCCCAAGATAACTCAGAGGAACACACCAAAGAGTGCATTGTGGATGTGTGAACGAAAAGGTAGGAGATGCAGATATTAAATGCCATAGAGTCAGTGAGCTAATTTATCTCTAACAGAGATTATTACCTATTGTGTGTACGTGCCCTAGATACAGTCTCGAAGCCATGTTTTCAAACACAGAAAATAAATAGGTCAACATATTTTTAAAATTTTATTTTATTTAT